CCCTCGCCATAAATAATGACCGAAACGTGTGAGCGCTGCAAGCTGCAGCATAGTAAAGCAGTAAACCTTCGTCCATAATTTTTTGGCAATATTTGATAAATTATCGATAAAGAACTCGCTTACAAAACAAATTATATCACACCGTCAAAACACTACCAGCCCATGCACGCACGAAATACTTATATGATATGTCTATTATGAAAGACATTTCACAACAAGCTCTCAGCCGACACAATTAAATTCTTCATGAAAGTGTCAGACACGTCGTCTTTTCCTGGGCGCAGTTCCTCCTTCCCTCTGCAGCGAGTTGTAGGTTTCGGTAACGTTAGCTTGCCTTCCAATTCACTGTGTGTACTAGTGGACTGGAACCAGTGCCTTTTTTAAGGAATTTGGGGGGGGGGGGGAGGAAAAAAAGGCAGAACGAAAAATATGAGCCGTCGAGGTTTGGCAAACGCGCGAGTCTGAAGAGAGATTTTGTAAAACTTTAATTTATTAACTTCATCTATATTTTACTTTAAACAATAACTTCAACTCTTTGTAGCTATAATCGTACTGCTATAACCAGTGGCGTAGCCAGACCTTATTTTTTTTGGGGGCGGGGGCGAACCTCATGCACGCCGAAGTGTGAGACCGTCTAGGAGGGTCCGGGGGAATGCACCCCCGGGAAAATGTTGAAATCTACGGTCCCTGAATCGCGATTTCAAGCATTTTGGGAGTGACTTCCGAAGATTATAAAGTACATCGAAGACATGAATTTTTCCAGACATTTCTACTCGGAATTAAATAAATTGGAAAACTCACCTTGAAAAATAGGAGGAGGGATCAGTGTCACCTTATTTCCTCTCTGTGATGCAGGGGGGGGGGGGAGAGAAAATCCCAATGTGATTTTGATCAGAAATGTTGCATTTAAATCATTTTAGGTTCTATTAGACACCATTTCCGCATTCTCAAAATTGCGTTGCTTTTTCATACGATACAGAATAAATCTGAGAAGAAATATTCATGCTATGATGATGCATACATGTATTTAACAGTTAAAAATCTAAACTAATCTATTCTTCTTGGAACCAGCATTTTATCGGATTATTTGCATGGAATCTATCGCTATTATGAAATACTCGGTGAAGAACAATATGCAAATATGAATTCACAAGATGGCTGTGGAGGAGGCTATGGAAGGGCATAATCTCATTATCAAGTAAATCAACTGCAATTCTGACAGCAATCATGAGCAATTCTGCTTCGCACTTCCGGGGCAGAAATGGCTTTACTGGGGGAAAATTCTTTCCCTTGGGGGGCAATTGCCCCCCCCCCCAGATATATAGTTAAAAAAGGCACTGACTGCAGGAACACAGGTCGGTGTAAAGGTGACTGACTCATCCAAATACTCGTAAGTTACCCAGTTGGGGACCGTGCATTGAATGAAAAACCAACCAACAGCTAAGTCAGACGGTTGGAACGAGATAAAGTATCTTGCAAAAAATACTTTGCTCTGCACGAATACTGACATTTATACTGTGCATAAATTTGTTGCTCAACAACAACTGTAGAATTCTCATTACTGTATACACAAGACACAAGTGTCATTGTTGACAATCAATTATACCTCACTCTAACTCGCGGTATTTGTGAAAGTATTATATTATAATTGGCACAATAAATCACAGTTTTTTCATTATCTGTCACTGTTTGCATATGTGGGGGGTATTCTAGTGAAGCAACACTGAATTCTTACTAGTTATTGTTCTGATATGTTCACTCTTATTGGGGAAACTCTTTAATTTACGGTTATTGTGTTTCTGCTCAGTAACTCCTTATGTGCCAGTAATGCATGATTATTTGATTGTTAAATCGTTAGAAGGAATTGTTTTAGTTCTGACGAAACTTTTTTGTTGACTTGGCTGCCTTGTTGGTAGACCAGTTTTTGACAAATATCTTGGTTGCTGCATGAGATTTAGTGATTTATTTGGATGAATAACCTTCTGTCCATGAAAAATAAGAAAAATAACGGTGAGTTGTTTCAATGTTCTTGTTGGCTGATCTAATCATAGTTGCACTGACGAACCCGAACCTGAACGAGAACAATCTATTTAGAGTTAATATTTCTCTCAATTTTTCGGTACATACACTTCCTGTATAATCATGAGTCGTGTAGGTCAATCAGGGACTTAATTAATTGCCTATTGCTGGACCTGGTTACTTCCCACAGTTCCAGTATTGTTGAAAGGCATGGTAAGTGCAAATTATCGGTGACAGTGAGTATTCACTGTATTTCCAGGCTGATTGGGAACGACAGGGGCAGCGTTAGCATTTTTATGGGGGGGGGGGGATAACTGAAAACCTGCAGTAAAATAATTCTTGCTTGATCATTAAATTTTCCTGAAATTCGAATTTAACTTAGCGAGAGGGGAGGGGGGGGGGGAGGGCAAATTTTTTTTCGGACGTCGAAAATATTTTCCCGGACATAATATTGTTCCTTCTTAATTTCCCAAAATTTCACTTTTCAGAATCGAAGTTGTACTCGAACTTAAATATTTTATTTTCGTTAATTCATCCAATTCATATTTTGCCGATCGACTGCATGGGAAAGCAATTTGCCGACTGACTGACGATCGTGGGCCAGGGTTCAACCCCCACACACCCCTCTATAGCGCCGCTCCTGTTTTCCGCGCAGATGGAGTCATTGGGCCATTGCCAAATAGAAGGAGATTTCATTATAACATTGGTTGATTTTAACGCACTGGGGCTCATGGGTTGACCGCGGTTGTAGCCAGAAATTTGGTATATTCGCCTGATGTGCTCAGACAATTTAATTGGTGGCATTGAATTCTTTCTGTACTGTACAGACTGTACAGGTAAACGTAAAAAAATATTTTGAACATGAAGGGGGGGGGGGGG